AGTGTGAGCTAGCTCACAGGTTTTTTAGCCTCCAGCTCACAGGTTTTTGTCTCAGCTCAGGAAGGATGGCTCCAGAGCAAACGTAATTTATGCAGTAGTCCAATCGCTTGCTCACAACTTTAATGCCAGTCGCTCACAAAGTAGAATTTTTGCTCACAAGACTCCACCGCTTAGAGGGAGTGTTGGATATGAGTAGAAATGGCAATCCCTGAGAGGTGTGTTGCAAAGAAGGGAGTCAGGAAGCAAAGGTTAAATGCTAGAGGCAGCCACCAGTAGTCTGACTGGTGAGGACAGGTTGGAAGCACCAGGGAGTCAGAAGGGATACCAAGGAGAAGAGAAATTTTAATCTGTCAAGGTTATGAGTGTCATGCATTGCAATGCATTTGTTCTAGTGGAGCATCTGAGCAACTTCTGAAGGATCACCTCCGTCTGGAAATGTGTCTTGTCTTCTCTCATCTTTACTACTGCCTTTGTCTTCTGATAACTCTTTTCTCTTCAGATCAGTTCAGAAAACCCTGTGAAAGTGAGACCTACTATTTGCAGTTATTTGTAAACCAATATCCTGGGCATAGCTGGGCCATCGACTCTACTGTGTAGTCTTTAGGCATCTTGGACCCAAGGTAACTTCCACAGTCTCTTTCTTTGCACTTCCCTCTTACTGCTTGAAGTTTTTGTTGTACAGCTACCTTTATTGATTTACATACCTCATGTATAGTTCTCCTTTCTCACTGAGACCTAAGGTGGATTACAACGAAAAACAGTGTACTACCAACGATACAATACATACAGCCAGCATTAGAGAACACTTTAGATTATGTATAACACGATATAGTTGGATTACAAAATTAGAGAACGATGCAATACAACTAGTGCAAAGTATTCAATGAAGACTGCCTACAACCTCAGGCACAACTGCCATCATGAACAATTCTGTTCCCCACACTCTCCAGAATGATCGGCACATGGGAGGCCTTCCTGACCACATAAATCAGGCCAGTCTACCTGGTGGGAACCACAACAGAGAATGCTCAGGTATGGGCAGCTGTTCATCTAAGGTCCCTGCCACACGGCAGGAAAAACGATGACCAGAGTGCGGCTAATCTGAGCCGCACAAAACTAGAGACACCACGGCGGGATCCCACGGATCCCGAGCCGCGGTGCCGTTGCTCCCCGGCACGATCAGATGCCAGGGAGAACGCGATGGTGGGAGGGGGAGGCTGGCGAACTGTGCATGCTCACACATGCGCAGTTCGGCCAGGAGCCGGGGATGCGCCGGCGGAAAGACGCGTCGGCGATCCCATGGCCGCACTTGCCGCGGCCTTTTTTGGTGCGGCTTATCATCGGAAGGGCCGGATCGGGGACGGGCGAGCAACGCTTCCCAGATGTTGCGGTGGGATCGCGCCCATTTGCCCCGCCCCCGATCCGTCCCTCTCCCGGCCCAATTCCTCTCGTGTGACCGGGGCCTTACTCACTTCATGGTAGGTCAAAAAATTAAGTGACTGCCCTTCTTTCTTGAGTTGTTCTCTCAGACCTGAGCTCAACATCCTTCACTGATCCCAGATGTCTTGTCTTGGCCCTCTGCCTAGTACAGCCAAGCCAGATCTTAGTGATTTTCTCTGCGATGTGGCCTTCCAAAGTTTGAATTTTTTCCTGCTAATCCAGAAACATCACACTATTCAAGGTGATAATGAGAACTTCTGATCAGAGAGGACGTAACAGCATGTTCCCTATGGTGCATCAAGAAAAACCAAGTTCGTTTTCTACAGTTCTTAAAGCCAGGAACAATTTAGCAGGAAAAATGTTATTGGAGTCCCATTTCTTGCAAGGAGTACTAAAATCTAACACTGATTTTGCAGAAATGTTTTTTTGTTTGCTAGAGGTGGGAATCTACAAACTAGTGCTACATCCCTAAAACTTCAAAGACTGGGAGATAAAACAGACATTTAATTAGTTAGTGGGTGCATTCCTCCTTAATTTTTCCAACAGTGCCCTAAATGCTTTTCTAGCCCTGCTAGCTACTTGAGTTTTCTCATGAGATAATTCCCATGTCACCTTTTGGTTTTCCTAGGCAACATGACTAGTCTGGCCAATTAAATATCTCTGCCTTAAAGAGGAATTAATGTACGCCTTCTGTAAATGAAATGCTCTGTCTGTTTCCTTAGGATACAGCTGAAATCTCTTAACTGTTGGCCTACTTACCCAAAATGTAAAACAGAGCTTCTATAAGCCACCCACAGAGATCCCAAGAGATGGGGCATCCTTTTTCAGGATTCTGGTTGCTGACCTGCCTCTATCACCACTGGCCTTTCTTCTTCCACCACCCCCATCTGTCTATATTGTATCTTCTCATTCTGCAGTTTGCAACTGTATTTCCCAGCCATGGGGGGGGGGGGGAATACCTACTACAGCAAGAATTAGACCATTGGGTGCAATACCCCACTTAGAGTACTGGTTTGCCTCACCTCCGGAGTTCTGTTTTTAAACGGCATTCTAATGGGCAGCTTTTCCAATTAAAGGATCACTTTAGAATAATAAAGGAATCATTAAAAGGATTCTTGTGATTAGCTGTACTTCTTGAAACAGCGTACTGTTCCAAAGCCCCCTCCCCATCTTATCTTCCAAGTCTGGCCCATCCAAAACTCCCTGCACACGGATATTTCAAGATCCTTCTTACAACTAAATGATCCTGGGGGGGGGGAAGAATCCCCGTGTATCCGCTACGATTGTGAGCAAAGCAGCATTCTTAACTCAAGGGAATAATTATTTAAGAAAGTTCATTCCAGAGGAGTAGCCGCATTAGTCTGTAGCAGTAAAGTGAAACAGGAGTCCATTGGCCCCTAACAGTTTTTACTCCAGCATGAAAATTGGTGAGTCAGTCTGGAATAAATTATGCTGGGATGCATTTTGTTAGTCTGTAAACTGTCACTGGATTCCTGCTTTAGTTAAGAAAGGTGTTCATTAGAAGTGGGTAAAAGCTTCTGAGGTTGAAAATGATTGTTCTTTACTCAGGCTACTAATAATCCATGAATATGGAAGAATCCCGAGATGGCGCCTGGTTTTTTGGCCACTGTGGGACACAGAGTGTTGGACTGGATGGGCCATTGGCCTGATCCAACATGGCTTCGCTTATGTTCTTATATCTGGGTTTGTGTTGGGATTCTGAATTCAAGGTTGATGGTTGTATTCCAACCCCAGAGCCACACTTAGTAAAAAAAAAAAAATCTTTACTATAAAAACAAAATAAAACATGGGTATGGTACTTTGGATAAAAGAAATAAAATAAAAAGTTACATACTTGCAGTTACTCTCAGTAATATATGCTAACAGCTACATCTTTCTATCTCTCTTGGATTCTAGAAGAGAACTACCTCTTTGGTTCACACAAAGGGCCATAAACTTGTGAATACATTAATGCTAGATCAAAGCATTTCTACAAACACGTTGTTAGTTGACCAATACAAAGGCTACAGGTCCCTTCATTAGGATAAACAACTGCCACAAACTTTCCCACCGTTGAATACATTATGTAACGTAACATCCTGTTTGCTAACAAACAACCTTTAACTCTGTAATGGCTGAAGTGTAAGCAACTTGCAATTCCAACAGTTTGACTACAAGGTTCTAGTTTGTTGTGAGGATTTCCATTCATTTCTGAAACCCTGCTTGGAAATAGGGCAGGTTCACCTAGGCTGCTTGCACACAGAGACCATTCACCATTTAGTTTCTGCAGCTGCTGTGAATGTGGTTTGGGAAAGGCCACAGCAAAGCTGAGGAAAATACAGAAGTAATACGAATAGAAGATGTCACATGGATGCTACTCAAAACCCTGCTGTTGTAAAAAATCCAAGGAGGAGCAAAATATCCACGTGGGGACACCTTGTGTTACCTTATCAGCTACAATCACATCATAAAAGATTATGATATTCAAGGCATTGTTAGATCCAGCTTCTGCCAAGAAAGTGGGAGTTGCAAGGTTCAGGAAGAAGGCAAAGTCTAGGCAAGGCACAGACATGTAAATCAAAGACCATGCAAGATAAGAAGAGGAAAGCTATAGACAGGGTTAAAAAAAGGTTGGGAGCAATTGCTCAGGGCTTCTTCCCATGTTACAGTGGGAAAATACTTCTCATGTTCCCTCAGAATCTTTTTTAAGAATCTGCCACATTATATAGATGGAAAGTGAGATCTTCCAGTTGAGTTCTTGCCAACAGTACATTATATTAGTTGCCTTCGACAGTACGTTATATTATCATACATCATGTTAATTTAAAAAAAATAAAGATACAATAAAACGAGAAATTTGAGGGGTAATTGGGATTTCCCACACTTTCCCCTTGCATTGAGAACTTGTCCATCATCAAGATTTCCTAAACTGTACTAAATCAACTTGTGATGATGCGACAGACAGAAGGCTGTCCTGCCCCTCCTGAAGGGGAAAACAACCATTCCCTGGAGCCGATGGGAGTGCTGCCTCCAGCATCCATCTTTTTAGGGGGGGGGGGGGGGAGGGAGGGAGAGAGAGAGAACTGTTCCAAAGAAAAAAATTATAATTAAAGATAAAATTATAATGCAAAAAAAAATCAAGCAAGTAGCAATTTCAGTCCATCAAATGCAAATGGACAGGACCTCCCTGGCATACATCACCCAAGCAGTGCACCCTCGAAGCTGAGTTAGTGTGAGCTAGCCCACAGTTTTTTAGCCTCCGGTGCACACATTTTTGTCTCAGCTCGGGAAGGAGGGCTCCAGAGCAAACTGATTTGTGCAGCGGCCAACTCGCTCGCTCACAACTTTAAGGCCGGTAGCTCACAAAGTAGAGTTTTTGCTCACAAGATTCAACAGCTTAGAGGGAGCAATGGCTCCAACACTGTCAGATTCAAAAAGAGATACCGCATGAGATTAGGAAATTGAAGGTTAATATTTTTTTTAAAAAAAAAAACCTCACAAAACAGCCTTTATTTACATGATTTTATTGCAAATATTCACATGAACATTGATAGGACTGACTTTAACGTTCTTTACGCAGAACCATCCTGATGAACTTTAGTTAAAAAGCAAATCCAACCACTTTTGTCCAAGAGTCGATGATACTGCAGGGTAAGTGGCCCTTTCCCCATTATTTCCATTTAAAGTTCATAACTACAGCTCACAGCAGCAAGTATTATTGGAGCCAGTCACTGCCCTGTACTGAACTGCTAAACTCCAAGTATGCAGTTTCACACATGCAATGATTAACTTCCTTATCTTAAAGACCTACCTATTCTGTGGGAGAGAAATCTAATAGAATCCAATGACAATGGGAATATTTAAGTTACACAGGGGGACCCGCAGTTCTTAGACACACAGCCCCTTGACAACACAATGGGTGCCATACTACCACCAAAACGTTATAAGCAAGAATCCCCCAGGCCAAGGAAACTACAACTATTAGGAACTGGTGAGCCCAAACAAACCTGGATTTGCCTCTAAGGCTGTGCAGTTATAAATTATCTTATTGTCATGGGATTCTCCCACTTCAGTATCTTTGCCTCTTTCAGCTGTAGGGCGGGGGAGACACCTTGGAAACAGCTTAACAGTTACTACAGTGATACTAATAGCCAGTAACTTCCCAAGCACCATTAGATACTTCATTAATTACATTTGTTCATTCAAAACATGTGCTTGGGTTGCCCGAAGCCAATAGGAATTTGACTGTATCCTGTTCCCTGTTCTTTACATGGCATACAGAGTGGCACTAAAATGAGGTTCTACAAGAAACAGCACTTTCAATGCTATAAAATTTAACACACACACCCCTCCATAACAACAAAACCCACAGACCACTGCACCACAGGACAGCGTGAATGAACAAAATGAGATTTCTTCTTTTTGGCCAAGTTATCATCCATACTGTCAAAATATTCCATATCCATAATAAATAATACTTCCATTTAACTTTCAGAAAAGGCAAAAGAAAACATTTAATCCTGTTAAATAAAGCACTGACTCTTACCTGCATATTTATTAGCATCACAATTAAGACTTAAGTTCCGTTAGATCTGACAACAGTTGTTTCCAATCTCAAAACACAAAGTCCTTTTTAATTAATAGCTTGAGCAAAGCTAGAATTTGAAAAAGCCAGAGTTCTGTATATTCTGTGCAAGATTCTGGTTTCCCCTTAAGTGTGTGGATCCTCAGCTACGCAGCAGCAATTGAAGCGTTATCTGCTTGGCGGCCTTGTGGCTTTAGAAGGCGGGGAGAAAGAAATCAAAACAATTTAAGGTTTAAATAGCTTCAGGTATTTTAGAATCCACATAGCCTGCAGCTGAAAATCCAACGCAGTCTATTGTCACTTTGAATATCTTTCTCAGAGTTCTGTCCCTTTAATATACCCACTGCCATATGATCATTAATTCTTTATTGCATTTAAATGGAAGTAATCCCCACCACTCTCAATCTATTATAAAGAAACAAGAAGCAGGACCCGCTCTGAGACTCCTTTGGGTAGTGAAGGGCGGGGTATAAATCCAATCTCTTCACTTCTTCTTCTAAGTTCATGGGTTCACAGTAGGAGCATCACCAGCTTGGAAAGGGAGACAAACTTCCCGGCTGCTGAATTCTTCTCGAGCTTTGAGGGTAAATCCAACCCAGAGAAGAACTCTGCCCCTAAAAATGCACTGGGGGGCGGGTGGAGGCATGGAAGAACAGCTGCAATAACTCCCCCATCACATCAGTCCCCAGCAGCATGGTAGATAATTTGGGGGTAGAAAAAGGGAAGTCTACACCTAAGACTTCCTAAATCCTAAAAGAAATCAACCCTGACTGTTCCCTGGAAGGCCAGATAATGAAACTGAAGCTCAAATACTTTGGCCACCCAATGAGAAGGGAGCACTCCCTGGAAGGAGGACTATACATTGAATTTATAAATAAATAAAAACAAAAAACAAAATAAGCTTTCTGATGACTTATCCTCAAATAACTTGGAGGCGGAACCAAGCAGATCTGGTAGGAGCCTGTCTGTCTCTAAGCAAAATGAAATGGAGACAGACTCTGTGAGGGCTCCAGGCAAGAAAAGAACCGTTTGGCTACCGGTGGTCTGTATTTCCCTCCAGAGAGGCAGACAGAGATACACACAAGACAGACGCCGTCTGTACTTCAGGACATCCCACTTTTTGTGGGTTCCTATCAATACATTCTTTGAGCAGTAAACAGGGTTTTCATCTACTGCCCTCGTCGTTTTGCAGAAGGGACTGAAGGGTGCCGTACAAATGGAAACTTTATAGCACAATCACAAATCATTCCAGCCCCTTTTAGGAATCAGATCCAGAATCTGAAAAGGCAGAAGACAGCTACCAGAGGATGTTGCAGTTACCAGAGGGTGTTGCATGGGGTGGAAAGGCCCAGCTAGTAATTTCCTAAAATACATTTACTTCTTACACGCCCCCCTGCACCATCAACTGCAAGTTGCAACTCAAGTTGGTTAAAAGTAACATAAAACTGAAGTGACTACAACCACCACTAGATATCACACACAAACACACATAACTCAGCAAAGTTCCACTTCTTTAATACTTAAATTCACTGTTCGTAATTGTATTTCAATCTGATCTTCTCTCCTGTTAATGTGACAGGGGACAGCCCAGCTCTTAATCTTGTCGCACCAGCGCACAAACACTTAAATGGCTGTGTTCAAATGGCTAAGAAGTGAACAAACTGAAACTGAACCCAGACAAGAGGGAAGTGATGCTGGCTGGGCAGACAGAGATCTTGAAGAACATTGTGCTTCCTTCCTTCTGAGGAGGTTCAGTTGACCCCTGCTGACTTGGTTAAGAGCCTAGGAATCATAACGGATCCAGCATTGCTGCTAGAGAAGGAAATCGTCTGCAGCTGCAAAAAACAGAGTCTTACAACTCAGTCTAGCCTACAAGATGGCACCCTACCTTGACACTGCCAATCTGGCCACCTGAATCCATGCCATGGTTAACATCAGGTCTACACGACGTAACTGCATAATCCTGATCTTACTAATTGTCTAAAGTATGAATTTTTGAAACACCCACTCTCCCAGGTTTCTGCAAAACTCTGAATTTTTCAGGATTCTTTTTACACAGGTAATAGGGTTCCACTGTAATGAAATGATTCAGAAAGATGCTCTTCCTTCCTTCTGAGGAGGTTCAGTTGACCCCTGCTGACTTGGTTAAGAGCCTAGGAATCATAATGGATCCAGCATTGCTGCTAGAGAAGGAAACTGTCTTACAGCTCAGTCTAGCCTGCAAGATGGCACCCTACCTTGACACTGCCAATCTGGCCACCTGAATCCATGCCATGGTTAACATCAGGTCTACACGACTGTAATGCCCTTCTACCTAGATCTCCCCTTGAAGTCAATTCAGAGAAGTCAGCTGGAGCAGAATGCTGCAGCCTGGCTCCTATCGTATTACTCCATTCTGCAGTCCACTGCCTGCCTGCACCAGTTATTAATTCAAGGTACTGGCTATCACATGCAAAGTCCCTTCATGGCCCTGCACCCTCATATCTGCAGGACCACATCTCCCCCTATGCTCTGCCATGATAGCTTTGTTCATCTGAGCAGGGCCTTCTGCAGGTGCTACCCTGCAAACCATGCCGGTACCCCTTGCATTCTCTGTTGTGGCCTCCCAGCTTATGGAATGGCCGGCTTGATGAGGTCAGGAAGGCCCCCACTCCCCTGGCCTTCTGCAACCTATGCAAATCTGAATTTTTCAGGATTCTTTTTACACAGGTAATAGGGTTCCACTGTAATGAAATGATTCAGAAAGATGCTTTGGAAAAGGCATAGAAACTGCAAACTATACTACCATGTACCGTCTGCTGCTCTGAGCATGCTCTAACTTTCTAATCTTTGCTTCATTTAACAGGCCCTGTTTAAATGGTTATGTCCTGTTTCCAGCTGTTTCAGACTTCTGCTTGTTTTCACATTTCTGCAACCCAAACTCTACTGCACTACTGGGTGTCCCATCCTGTTGATTGTATAGTCTGCCTCGAGTTTCAGTGTCTCAGTGTTAGAACGGATAACCGGCTTGATGAGGTCAGGAAGGCCCCCACTCCCCTGGCCTTCTGCAACCTATGCAAAACTGGATTTTTCAGGATTCTTTTTACACAGGTAACAGGGTTCCGCTGTAATGAAATGATTCAGAAAGAGGCTTTGGAAAAGGCATAGAAACTGCAAACTATACTACCACGTACCGTCTGCTGCTCTGAGCATGCTCTAACTTTCTAATCTTTGCTTCATTTAACAGGCCCTGTTTAAATGGTTATGTCCTGTTTCCAGCTGTTTCAGACTTCTGCTTGTTTTCACATTTCTGCAACCCAAACTCTATTGCACTACTGGATGTCCCATCCTGTCGACTGTATAGTCTGCCTCGCGTCTCAGTGTGAAAGGCAGACTATAAATAATGGACATAAATAAAAATGAATAAGGTGCTAGCTACACAGACACACCATTACACCAGGGGTGAGGGAACGCTGAGTGCTACACACTATCTGGTCTGGCACAGTCCACCACTCCAGTTCTCTGAACTGCGTTTCCTTTAGAGCCAAAGAAAGAATGAAATAGGGTCCCTGAAGGAAAAAGGCTCAGTTTTTTTTCTGTAAAGTAGTTTAGGCTGAATACAGCCACAGAGAGATTAGGATTTAAGTCCTGGGTAAGCTCACAGCTTCTTTCCCCTGGAGGCAGTGGGATCACGCCTCTCCCTAGCAGCAAGTATAGTTGACAAGCTGGATAAAAGGTATATTGATTGTCAAAAGTTTATGAGCAACACCCATTCCTGTTGGCTGTGCTGCAATTAAGTACAGAGCAACTGTTTGCAATGAAGGGAGGATTAGTTTGGTTTTTACTGTGTAGTTCACAAAAGAAGCATCACATTTTTCAGGGACTTAATTAACTCTGTCTGGACAGATCTCTTCCTCGGCCACTGACATGCCCTTTCTTCACAGTAGTAGCAACATAGCGTGCATGAAGGTTTAAAATAAAAGGGAATTACTTTCTTGTCACAAAATCTGGGGTGGGAAAAACGATATCCATTCACTAATTCCATTGTATAAGATCGAATGCATGTTGGGTCTTCCAGCAAAACATCAGCTGCCCTTAATACAAGGAGTTGTCTTAGCAACCAAATTTTAAAATGCTCCTAATGCAGCCAACAAAATCTCCATCCAACCGAGCGTTTAGGCAAATTGTAAGCTTTGCTATTACATTCCATAACTCTCAGTTAGCTGTTGCATTGGCTTTTAAGAGTCTAAGGCAGGTTGACTATACAAGCATTTTCGGTCTTTAAGAATGAAGCATTGCTGGAAGAACTTTGAATGGTCTTGCTGTCATTATTATGCCTTAAGGTAAAGGTAAAGGTTCCCTTGCTCGAAAGCCAGTCGAATCCGACTCTAGGGTTGCGGTGCTCATCTCCGTTTCAAAGCCGAAGAGCCAGCGCTGTCCGAAGACGTTTCCGTGGTCATGTGGCCGGCATGACTAAACACCAAGGCGCACGGAACGCTGTTACCTTCCCACCGAAGTGGTACCTATTTATCTACTTGCAATTTCTTGCTTTCGAACTGCTAGGTTGGCAGGAGCTGGAACTAGAGACAGGAGCTCACCCTGTCTTGCGGCACCCGGGTCTTGAACCGCTGAACTACTGACCTTCCACAGCCTGCAGTTCAGCGTCTTAACCACTTGAGCCACCTTACCTTCACAAAAATGTGTGTTGGGATAAATCGTCTAAGCAGCTGGTTAGTGAAATGAGGAAACCGTAACAGGTTGATGTTGAGTGATGGTAATTGCTGATAACCAGCCATGAGAGGGTAGAAGTTGTACAACATTTCCTGTTCAGTGCCAGGAAGAATTCGCAACCTTATCTAAAAACACCAAAAAAAAAAAGTACAGGGGCTTTGATTAGAGTCTTTCCTTAGCTTGAATACAGGACACAATCCAGAAAGCCCATTTTATACATTTTAGTATAAATATAATCAAAGTGTCTTTGAGATACTATTATTATAGAAGACTCTTAATTTACATTCACAATTCCCCAACCTCTCCTCCCCTTCTATTCAATATTGTCCTCACAATATCAACCTTATAGCTAGGCAGGAACAGTAATGTACAAAGGCTTACATGTATCCAGGGAATCACTAATGAATTAATAAAAATTAACAGCCTCCTACGCAAAACCCAAATTGCCTTTTATACTGTAGTACACAAGTAAGGTTTTGGTTTTCTGGGTATCTTCCCCTCCCGCGGCATACCAAATTTAATCAGGAGCAGCCAGAAGTCCAGTTCCCTTGAGGTGCTTGGATATCTGGGGCCAATTCACACATATGACACAATGTGGTTAGTACTGCAGATGCAAATTTTATTCTCTAGCTTTTTAATCTGGTGTAAGGACATTTTACATGCTTTAAACATCTTTTTGCAAGCCAGAAAAGCACAGCTGGGTTCATGATGCATTTTTGAAAAACAGCTCGTCAAACTGCAAGTTCCTTCGCCCCAACAAATACAAGTAACTGAAGGATGGCAAACAAGAATTCTGAACTCAAGTTTCAATTAAAAGATTTTATTACCAACGTCAATCACAACCATACAGTTATGCTGCCTTAATGTGTTGGACTAACAAAAAATGACTCCATGGATTCCTAACAGTGGGTGTTGCTTGTGGTCTTCCATAGTCTTTGTTTCACAGGGAATGCAGATGCAGATTTGTTTTGACACATAAATTAGCTACATAATTCTTTTTACATTGTCCATAGTCCAAATGCACCAGTCATGACATCTGAAAACATCTAACACAGACTTCCAATATTCTACATTAATCAAGTCACAGCCCATACCTGCTTAAGACCAGAAAACATGAAGGCATCGCTCGGTTCCACTGACACTTCCAAGTCCTGAACTATATTAGTCTTATTCTGCAGGTGATATTTTACAGGTAAGGATTCTCTGACTCGACCAAATGAGGGCAGATCTTTGGGAAAGAAAGCGCACACACAGAGTTCACACTTCCATTTCAGTTGTTTTGATCTCAAGTTAGCAAGAATATATTAACGCTAATTATTATTACATGCCTCGCAAACCAAGTAAATGGCTTTCGTGTTTTTAAAACAATGCTTGAGGGAAATAATCAAAACAGAAGTAACCATGCAGAGACTATGATGTGAAGTAGGGCTGAAGAAAAATACAAAGCAGTTCTCTCCTCCAACACAGACTTGCTGAAGTGCTGCAAGGCAAATTCCACCTGTCATTCATGTGTCACCTACTAGCATTAAGTTAAAAAAGCATCACAGTGTGGATTAGAGAAAATGGAACTGGGATAGCTAAATTCAGCATTTTGTCTCAAAAATGTAAAGGGCACTTAAGACACCTCACTGCTCTGGCAAAGTCAATGGACATCAGGAGCCTGGCTAATCAACCTACCATCCACTGTAATCCCATCAAGATTAAGTGCCCTGTGTTACACATATACACACAGCCCTGCTAAAAAATGTAAAATCAAACTATAAGAGTCCCAATGAACTGGGTCCTAAAATCAGCAAGCTCCACCTTTTCGCCTCTCTCTACCTGCTACAGTTCTCCACACCATTCAAAAAATTGCTTCTGAAGCAATTTGGAACAGTGTGGAAATTTCAGACCCTTCCCTTGCCAGGGGAAAAAAAAAAAAAAGAGTTGGCAACCTCAATGGTTGGTAGAAGTCATATACTGGCAGAAATACAGGGCCTTTGTTTTTGGGCTGCTATCAGACTTAAAATAGTAAGGGGTGACTTGCAAAAAGCAAGGACGGTGTGCTTTGAATAGCGCAACCCCCTTGCTAAGGTATGAAAGCTTGGTGGGTAATTTCCCCCTCCCCTTTTGCCGTCAAGTTGCAGCACACGTATGGTGACCCCCGCGGGGTTTTCAAGGCAAGAGATGTGGGTTGCCATTGCCTGGCTCTGCATAGCGACTCTGGACTTCCTTGGTGGTCTCGCATCCAAGCCCTAACCAGGGCCGACCCTGCTTAGCTTCTGAAATATGAAGAGATCAGGCTAGCCTATCCAGGTCAGCGCTGATTATCTTGGACCAGTCATTTTCGCTCAGCCTATCATGTGCTCCTGGGACAGAGGGTGTGATTAAAAAAAATCCAAGCGAGCAAATACTCCAGCAAAGTTCTTGTGAATTTTATTCCCGGGAGAGTCAGTGATGCTCAAGAGGTCACTGCAACTAAGGAAATGATGTGTCTTCTTGTGAAAATGCTAGATATGCTGGGAACGCACGGCACAATGCGGAACCGTCATCCATCTAGGAGGAGTGCAGATTGTGGGCTAAGAGTACCTGGTTCATCTCCTCGTATTACTTTTGAGACATGGGAATGACAGGTGAGAGTACTTCAGAGTCTTTAGAGTATAATGGGAGAGACCTGGAAAAAGGGGGAGGCAAAGGGAGAAAGCTTTGTGCTTTGTCCCCTGAGCTGTGGCAATAAAGGACGTATTCATGAAGTCTTCTCAGAATAAAAGTGTTACCCTGCTATGACCTTTCAGGGACTCAGCCTCCTAAACAGAGCAAGACATGACACGTTTACATTACCTGCGTTAACATGGAGTGGGATGCCTTCTGCAATCACGTGAGGGAGTGTGATCACAGTCCTAACAGGTATGCTCTTCGCCGCTGAGCTCCTTTTTAAAAAAAATAACAAAGTACAAAAAGTATGAAAAAAAACCCCTGTATCGGCTGTAGGTAACAGAAACCTCGTTTTAGCAGTTCAAATGGAAATCAGTGTGTTAGGTGAAATGCGTGAGACAGAAAAAGCACACAGGGCCAAGCCTGGAAGACAGACAGGACTGGCTCGACAACCCTATAACTGATGATGACGTTTAATCTAAAAGTGATCAAGGACACAAAAATAAATGGGAGGAGAGTTAGTCAGGGAACACTGCTCTTTCTTTTTCTTCAGCTTTAATACTCAAAATAACTTTCTTCTACTCCATTCTGATTACAATCAATCAATCAATCAATAGACCTTTAATGGCATATACAACATTAAAATCAGAGACAGTACATGACACAATCAGCTAAAAGTCTAAGATAATTATAAAATCATAAAACGGAGTTTCCCACGTTTTTCACTCTTATCACATCAACTAAAAAATTGGCCACTGCCACAGTAATCTCTACTGTTGTACATTCTGATTACAATCTTAGCCTTGTAGAAGCAACAAGTCTGTATCTGTAAATTTTTTTAATATTCAAAACTCAGAGAAAAAGCATCAATTTCAGGCAGAAATCTTTCCAGCAAGGCAGAGCAAAACCTGGAACAGAAGATCTACAGCAAGATCAGGGAGCCTGTCTGAATTCCCCTGACACACTATATGCCTGAAACATGGGCTTAGTGGAAGTCAGAAGGTCCCTGGAGGCTTCACCGGACCTTCCCCATAAATTCTGAATAAAGGCCTCTACAAAGGCTTCAGTATGCCTCATTCTGACTGTAGTCTCCTTATGGCCCTTACAGAGACATTAGAGTTGGAAGGAGAGCCTACACTATGTCCAGGCAAAAGTAGACATTGATAGTCACATGGCAGTGTCTGGAGTATATCTATGAACAATTCTGCACTTCTGGGCAGATGGCTTCTATGACAGGCTACTACCTGTGGCATCTAGCCATGGTGACTGAAGGGAGCCTCCACATTCAGAGGCAGTAAACCTCTGAATACCAGTGCCAGGAGGCAACACCAGGGCAAGGGCAAGGCCCCCATGCCCGGCTGTTGGCCCTCTAGAGGTTGGCCAGTGTGTGAAATGGAATGCTGGACTAGATGGACCACTAGATGGACCAGATGATCCAGCAGGGTTCTTCTGATGTTCTCCCCACTTCTGCACGACTGTGAAGGCTGGGGACAACAGGGGAATTTCTAAGCTATATTGTGCAGACCAAAACGTTGCCTCTAGGCAACAGTGACCCCTTTAGAAGCCACGCATGACCTACTGAAGAATCTGACGGGTCTCTTTCCCCACCCAAATAATTACACACTGTGGATTCTATCGAAATCCAGTCAGAATTCCACCCAATGGCGATTCCACTCTTCAGCAGTATCTGATCTATATTATTGAAATTATTCCTACTGCCTTCTGCTAAGACCCTTAGAGTGCATTGTTGCTCCTCTAAGAAAAAGCAGTTGCACATATTCCTTGGTCTAATATGAGCAACACCTCCTAACCTGCCTTGTCTGAACATCTGAACACCTTTTACAGTTCCGCAGGGCCGGCAAGACGTAGCTCTTCCACCAGGCCTTTGACTGAGGAGCCGCACTAAACATCTGGGAACGGCCCTGTGCCCTGATTTTACTACCTACAGCCTGTACTCGCCGCATAAGCAAGCTGAATAAACTAAGCTGGTGTGAGAATACGATCAAGACTGTATTGTCACCTTTAGTTGTACTGCTAACTGAAACCTTTATTCTCACACTTTATTAGATCATGTTCCAGCACTTTAGGATGATTATTAAAGAATGTTGTTTTATGCTTGGTTTTAATTGTATTTATATATGGAATTTCATGTAAGCCGCCCTGAGCCTGCCACGGCAGGGAGGGTAGGGAATAAATTGAATAAATAAATAAACCTGGAAGTTACATACCCAGTATGTCCGTACGTAGTAGCTCCCCTGATTAGGCTGTGTGTGTAGGTGTGTGTGGGGGGAGTATAGATAAGAGGAGGATATTTGATGGGCACAGGAGATCTGGCTGAAAATATAAGACAGCATGGCCAAGCCTTCCTTGTTTTGGGTAAATGGCACATGGGGAGGTGAATTCTAGGACGCTTCTGTACTGCTCAGTAATGAGAAAAAATTCACAGTCACCCTTGGAGAATATTTACCTCTTCCAGGAGACTGCATAACTTCCAGTAGCCACTCCAGTCTGTCCGCTAGAGACCGGTGGGCATCGTAGGCAGAAACACTCACTAGCACTCTCTCCGGTCTGTAAAACAACTAACAGAAATGTCAGTTCAGACAAAAGTTAAAAGAATTTGCTCAGACAGACCACATTTGCAACTACATTTCATATGCACACATTGGGTTGGGGTCATTCCAGTGCAAAATTTCTGCTTGTGCCAGAGCTCTTGTGCAAGCAGAAATATGAGAAAAGACTGCAGTAGCCGCTAGTGCTAAGTCAAGCTTATGGTACCCCCACTATATTGGGAGGAAAGCGCTAGGTGTCACATAAGATCTTGCACGAACAGAACTGTGGTACATCCATTTATCTTGCTGCCTGCACACTGTTATAGATTCAAGCCACTGTATATTACACGGGCACATGAACAAGCACAACATAGTAAACACACTAAATCAGGGGACTGCAACCTGTGGCTTGGTATGGAACCCAAAATAGCTGTTTAGTGTGGGCCTTCCCAGTAAAGGACTTGCAACAACTAGTGTCTGGGCTGCAGACACACTATGGACCATTAACCAACATGTAAAAATCAATAGTGTTGATTTGTACAAAGTTTGTAATGTAAAATGTATGGACTCTTTTTTAATCCTTTGCTCTGAATTTTGATATTTTTTGCCTCTTTAATTGTAAAATGTTGTGGACCCCTACACTAAATATTATATGAAAACCAGAGTACATGTATGTGTACAGAATTTCCTTTCCCTCATCCTCCCGTTCCCCCACAAAAACGTGGAGACTCAGCTGCATATCATATAAAGTACACACACAGGTATCCACTAAATGGTCATCTCATCTCAGAAGTACAGACTAATCAAGGTCTCCAAAATCATCAAGTCCAATTACTGCACAGAGGCAGGATCTGCTGAGACCAACCCAGCCCACACAGAGGCAAGGATAAACTCACTTACCACAGAAGCACGTGCAGTCACTGCGCAGCAAGCTGACTTGATGGTGGAGGGACATGCAGGCAGAGTCCCTTACAGGGATACTCGCTTAACCTCCCCATCTCCTACTCTGTTTTAATACAATGTTGAACACACCTACTCTCCTGCACACGCATTTAAATAATCAAAATATGATTGAGTTTCTTCTAAAATATAAATTTCTTCCCAGTGCCGTTCACTTCTCACCATTCTCCACGTAAGATTCTAGCTGGTCCGCTGGCATCATAGAAGGAGAAAGCTGCAGCTGGCTGGTTACAATCGTAAGGGCCCAAGGTGAAGTACTGAGGATGTCGGTCATCAATAAAAATGGTATGTCTGAAAAGACTTTATCTAAATGCTCGAACTACCGAGAAGAGAAACAATGGATAGGTTGTAGCTTAGTGTTCTGACCCTGACTTTTCAAGCTATGTTTTCAAGCAGGTTTCTATCCCATACCTTAGCAGAGACGAATTTAACAGCAACATCAAATGGAAACACAGTCTCTATGGTAACAGTCTCATCCTGCACAGAGAGGAATAAAATTATGTTCCATTCCTTGTTTTATAGCCCAATATTAAGTATACGAAAGAAAATCCTTCTCCACAACTCCTCCCTCTTCCTAAAGTTCACACGGATGACAAGAAGTTTCAAAGACATATGCTCAACTACCTCTTTCCTGTTTAAAGTCGATATCAGAGCAGAAATAGTCCTCGGGTTGCCTGATCTGATTAAAAACACTATTCAATTTACTCCATTCCCCCCAAATAAATTTGCTTTCTCAACAGAGTAAACAGCTTGTAAAACCTAATCAGCCATAGTTATGATACCAATAACGGGAGCCAGTGTGGTGTAGTAGTTAGAATGCTGAACTAGGATCTGGAAGACCTGAGTTTGAATCCTCGCTCTGCAAGAGAAGCTTGCTGGATGACCTTGGGTCAGTCTCACACAGTCTAACCTACTCCACTGGGTTGTCGTGAGGATAAAATGGAGATGAGAAGTACACAGTAAGCTGTAGTGTATAAATGAAGCAAATAATCCATAGCGGCTTCATCAACCTGCCCCAGTTTGGACCACTCAGGTATTCCAGCATCAGGTCCAGCTCTGCAAGTGACTCATCAGACTTCTACAGCTCCTGACCCCTTCAGCTGTACTTGCTTCATCAGCCACAGATGGCAAAGCAACTGATCCCTCGCTTTGCTGACTGCTAGACTGTTATGTATGGAACAGAATGTATGCGCTTGAGGGAAGCAAAGTGATTGGTCTTTATGTACTGTATTTGATTGGATCTTATCTGACATGTGGGCGTGGCTTGCCAAGCCCGGACTGTTTAAAAAGGAGCCTCTTGCTCCATTGCTTGTCTCGTTCTGGTTCTTCTGACTTTGTGTTCACCTGCTGCCTCGAGTCTCGTATCTTACATAGACTGTAAACACAGAGGAACTGCTGAACACTCGCTAGGCTGAGACACACGACTGGTGGGCTGCATTCAGGGAGATGGGTCGTAAGTTCTGTAGACCAGCAATATATGGCAGAGGTCATTTCGGGGGGGAACGCGGGGGAACACAGTTCCTCCGGGTGAGGTGCAGGGGGCGGGGCACATGACGAAGCCCCGCCCCCTGCTTCCGGCCGCCCCGCTTCCAGCCCTCATTCAGCCAGGAGGAGGCAGGAGAAGAGGGAGGGTAAGTTGCTTCCTCCCCGCCTCTCCCCACCCCTGACTGCCTGGGGCCAGGGAGGGCCTTGGCGGGGCTTCCTCGCACTCCCGCTGTCCTTGCAGGTCCACCGCCGGGCCCCTGATGTCAGGGGGTGTGGCATATGTTAATGAGTTATGCTAATGAGTTCCCCTAGCTCTTTTTCTATGAAATGACCCCTGATATATGGGCACAAGCTTCCAGGAGCTGAAATCTCCTTTCACAAGTGTTCAGAAACCTTATCTACCCCAGCTGCTTTCTGTGCTTTTTGAACTTTGCCCTCCTTTAGCTAAACTGCATTTAAAGAAGTACAATCTCCAGTTTTCTGCACCTCTCCACAGGAATCACCACTCTATTTACAAATGTGATGATCATATCTGTGAGAATGGATGGAGGTTTCATTTTATGCACACCTTTGTCCAACCGGGTTATACTCTTCCCCTTCATGCCTGCTTGGTTTTCACTCCTATAACGTTAGGAAGTTTAGCATTTCTGGGAACAATAACAATACCAATTTCATGAAAGAAGCTGAATTTTTAGAAGAAGAGGAGAGATTGGATTTATACTCTGCCCTTCAGTACCCGAAGGAGTACCAGAGTGGTTTATAATCTCCTTCCCCTCCCCACAACAGACACCCTGTGAGGTAGGTGGGGCTGCGAGAGCTCTCTCGAGTACTGCTCTTTCCAGAACAGCTCTGAGATAACTGTGACTGACCCAAAGTCACGCCAACAGCTGCATGTGGAGGAGTGGGGAATCAAACCCAGTTCTCCCAGATTAGAGTCCGCACTCCTAATCACTACACCAAACTGGCTCTTAGAGGTGATAAACCATTTTATTGATTGCATCTACAATGGTTGCACAAAGTCTGGGATTTTTTCCTACAAGAGAAAATCTCATCCTGGACAAATACTACACATGTTGAGTATCACCAGCTTAGCCCCATGGATAAATGGTACCCTGTATTAGAGAAAATGAACATAGACAAATTCGACTGGGAACAAATAAGAAAACCAAAATATGAAGGGCTACTGTTTGGTTGATGGTGCAATATATTGACAACAGGGGGTGATAAGTGGCTGCATCCACTGAACCAATTAAGAGTATTTCCACATCAATTGAGGCTGTCACATTTGCTTCAAGGCTGAACGCTCCTGCTCATCCACAAGTTCATTACTTGTATTGAGGAAACTCCCCAGATATCGTGAATGTGTCCCCCTTCCCGATTTTATTTTTTGCTGCTGTTTCGACTTATAGCTACTGACTGTTTTTTAAATTTTAAATTTTATAAATAATCTAGGAAAGAGGCTTGCAGAATATGAATTGGCCACCATAAAAAATATAAGTACATCCTTCAGACATCCCGTGCTCCAGCCTAGAGGAAGTGTGGATGTGGAATTAGAAGCCAGTGTACCAGCTCCTATAAACAACTTCATCAATCTAGAGGGCAAATAGGCAGATACTTATTCCTACAGAAACTTTTTTGCTTCATTAAGAGCAGACAACATTAGAGACGGTGATAACTGCATAGAAATCATCAAACCAAATTCACTCTTGTGCTGTAAGAATTCCTTCCTTAGGGTTCCAAGCTAAACCACCCATTCTTACCCAGCATGCAGAGCTGAACACATTAACAGCAGCAAAACCCTGGAGATCGACAGAAGTTACACAAGCATGCTGCTCATGATACTCATTATGACAGAATAAATGTAATGTACTCATTATTATATTTTTAGAATCCCCATTAAACACATATGGTTCCAATTACTTTAACATACCCTGTGACACTTGCAGAGGATCTCTTTTCCTTCAATGGTCGTACTCACTAAATAGGAAACATATACAAGAAACATTCTGGTACCAACCATTCCACAGTGAATATACACAGTCTTTTCCAGCTTTGAAAGAAAGAGAAAAGAAGCAGTAATCGTGAGACCACAATGTATAAAAGACCTTTAAAGAGCAAGAATTTACAACCAGAAGCATTTGCAGGTCTTTCTAAACTCTGTACACAAACTAATCCATCAGTTTTCCATGGCTGCTTTTGAAAAAACTAAGCAAAACTGAAATCTCAGCCACTGATAAATATAATTTTGGAGAAAAATATTAGCTACAAAACAAGAAAATGTTAGTTGCATTAAATGCCCTCAAATCTTAAAGAATTTACATGCAGTTAAGTAGAGTACTATATCTTTGAAATACGCACATGCTAAGTAGCTACATTACTGTATTTTCATACATGTTAAGCAAAACATCCTACAGGGGCTGTTAACCACAAACAACGTTAGCTTACCTTTTCACCTGGCTGCAAGTCTCCTATAGGGATATCAGGAAGTAAAGCAGGAAATGAATCGTCACATATTTCTGTTCCATTTAGTGTCACGTGAGTTTTTTGAGTTAGGTTTGCATCTTGGCCTGGAATGAAGAACGTTCTGATTATTTGTTTAGGTGGTCACCAGTAATATTTGTGAAGCATTTATATATGGTCACTAGGAAATATTTCATGCTATCTGTGTTACCCAAATGCAGTTCAAATGACCGAACAGAGATAACATGTCCACCTCGAAATATGGCTTATATAAGCTTAAATTCTGCAAAGCCACATTATTGTACAGATTTAGTATTTTTACACACAGACAGAATATCAAAGGGTTTTTTTGTTTTGTTTTTGTTTTTAAGCACACAACTTCTGGATTACCACACGTATCCTTAGATAGTTCTTAGTCCATGGGCTGATCCTGTTTCAAGGCAGCTCTAGAAGATGCAACACATGATCTTCTTAATATTCAGCTTCCTGTTCTGTTGCTGTTCTTAATTGAGTATTCAATGCCAACGTTACTTCAACAGGGACATGGAAGCTCTCCCCCCACCCCCTTTCTCTAAGCTACATCCAAAGAACAATGGCTTTGATCAAGGGAGAAGTCTACATTACTTCTGTTTATATATACACACTGCAAACTTCAGCGTACCTTCAAAACTGATCCCACATGTGCAAGGATCTCCGCCCACAGAGCACTCATCTTTCTGCCTCCCCCCCTCCCACAGCAGTCCAAAATGCCCCCCCCCCATATTGTAACTGGAAGAGGGACCCCGAGGAACAAGATATTGGGGGGGGGGGCATTTTGGGCTGTCAGGGGAGGCAGAAAAGTCATGCCCCATGAGCTGAAATTCCTGTGCCAGCACTGGTCTAGATCCAACCCAACCTATGATTTTGTGTGCCAAAGTGATTACTTTCTACAGTGCCACCTTTTTGCCTCTGAAGGAACACATCTACAAAAATCTGTTCTCGTTTATAACAGCTGAGGATAAACTTGCAGGTGTTAAAGGAAAATCATATACAGGCAGATTTCCTTTGCTGCCTTTCCAAAATGAGCATATTATTAATTATTACTTATTTCATTTATACCTAACCTTTCTCCCCAAGAGGGAACCAAAGCGGCTTACATCATTCTCCTCTCCTCCATTTTACCCTCACAACAACCCTGTGAGGCAGGTTAGGCTGAGTGTGTGTGACAGGCTCAAGGTCACCCAGCAAGCTGCCATGGCAGAGTCTGGATTCAAACTTTTAAAATTATTTACACCTTGCTTCTTCATATAAATACCCAGGAATCAGCTAGAAAGTCAGCACTACTGAGTTAACGATAATGCCAGTAGCAAATCAAGTGGGATCCAACTTTTATTATCACTGGATGCATTTTCTTGTCTTCTTCCATCACTAGTCCTGTCTAATTGTCATGTCTTAAAACCTATGGAAGAAGGGAGTGGCTTTCCCCCCCCCCCTTTCTCCTTTACACAACGAAACCTTTTATCCTTATGCAGATTCTGAGCCAACAGCACTTCAGTAATGAGTACCTGGTTTTAAGCCGGCCGTGAGCTTTACATCTTTGGCAACGGTCTTCTCGTGTGACTGGATTGTGACACTCAAACAGTACATTTCATTCATAAGGGCGGGAGGCTCATGTTTGAGCTGGACAGAAATGTTTGGCACTCTGGAAATGATCCTTCAATTAAAAAAAGAGAGAGAGAGAGAGAAAGGCCAACTGCTGGCTGTTGCTTAACGCTCTTACAAACTGGTTCTATCTGCTGCTGTGGCTGTTGCAGCGCACAAGTCTCTGCCTGTGACACACTGTAGTGCAGGGAAGCAGGGTGGAAGAGCAGCTTTGTCTTCCACGGGCCTCTCAGGACCCCTCCAATCAGCACCTCTCCTTCCACACCTTTACAGCTGTACAAACTGCAGCAATCCTAGGTGGATGCACATGTTGCCATGGACCTCGGGATGCTGACCATGGGATGCAGGAGGCCAAGTCACTTTGTTCCCACTACCCTTGTCTGTCCATCCCCTGCCAAAGAGAACCTTATATGGTTGTTTCATAGGCACTTCTCCTGTGCTTGGGAGGCAGCAAAGCCAATTCAGGTGCTATCCCACATGCAGGAGGACAGGACTGGCTCTCACTGAAGAAAGGAGGCATAAGGTGGTGGTTTGGGTTTTTCCCCTGGCCTAACGCCAGGAGCTCACAGGGCCCTGTGCCGTGCTACTACATGACGAGAAAAACATATGACTGCATGCTTTTCAGTCCCTCTCTTATTTTTACAGTGCCACTATGAAGCCCTCCGTGCTCCAGCTTTACAAAGTGCACCTTCAAGTGAGTAACTTGCTCATGGCCTCTCAGCAAGTATGTGGCAGGGATGGGAACTAGGTCAAAACTCCACCATTCTCGGATGTGAGCAAAGGCAAAACTCAAAAGAAGGATGAGGAAACTCCTGAATGGAAACTGCAGTTTGGAAAGATCCCAAAGAAGATTGATTTTTCACCCCCATCAGTGTGAGACCACAGAGTCAATGGGCATGCCATCTTAAATCAGAACGGCTTTAAAAATTACCCGTATGGCTAAGTGTTTATGCAGACGGTGGCTTAAACACCATGAAAATTAGTCTGTGTGTCAAAAACAATGTTTAGTATGCTATTAGAGACTTTTTAGTGCACTCTCATTATCTCACTGTATAAAAGAGGTCTTTGCTTAAGTACTCTTGGGGGGAAAGGATCATAGTACCATAGCAACTGAAGACATCAGCTGCATAAAGGTAAAGGTTCCCTTGCTCGAAAGCCAGTCGAATCCGACTCTAGGGTTGCGGTGCTCATCTCAGTTTCAAAGCCGAAGAGCCAACGCTGTCCGAAGACATTTCCGTGGTCATGTGGCTGGCATGACTAAACACCAAGGCGCACGGAACGCTGTTACCTTCCCACTGAAGTGGTACCTATTTATCTACTTGCAATTTCTTGCTTTCGAACTGCTAGGTTGGCAGGAGCTGGAACTAAAGACGGGAGCTCACTCTATCACGCGGCACACTCGGGTCTCAAACTGCTGAACTACCGACCTTCCACAGCCTGCAGTTCAGCGTCTTAACCACTTGAGCCACCGCAGCTCCTTCAGCTGCATACATCACAGTAAATAAAACCTTGTGTGATTGGAAACACCCCCAGACTATTCTATGTATCAAACTCGGTGTCTGCTGTCAGGTTGTTTCTACTTACATAGTGCTTGTCTGAACAGTCAGACTTTCCCAATGGATTTCACCCTCTGGGAGTTTGGGCCGCCGTCTGAAGGAGCGAGCTGCCAGCAGCGCCTCTTGAGAAGAAGCTGCATCCCCTCCTCCTCCACGCCAGTTCAAGATCACACACCTGCCATTCTCACTACCCAGAATCAAATCCACTGAAGTGATCTGAAAGACAGACACGTACTGACTGGGATTTTCTCCTGCAGTTCGTTTTAACGTATGCATCCCAGAGACACACAGAATCGCCTCCTACATTAGTATTTATTTAAGAGAGAAACCACCACCCTGCCTGTGAGATTCTTTTGAAACACATCTAAAATGTGTGCATGACAGCCTGGTCTGGATCTCAGAAATAAAAATGCAAGTGGTTTCGGAGTTTAAGTGATAGACTCAAAAAACATGCCAAACTTGCAAGATCCTTTGCTTATTTAATGAAGTCTGATAGAAGATTCTCAAGTAGACGCAGAGATGCAGTCTCAGGCTCAATAGTTTTGTTTGTGTGTGTGTGTGTGGACACTCAGAACCCTTGTTTCATCTCTTTGCTATCCACAATGAATAGACACAAAGCCTTCCACTAGTTCAGTTACATAGTGCATTCTGCTACCCTGGTACAACATCATGACTCACAATATTGCTATGAGGCAATGGCCCTCCGCACCTGATCTTATCTGCCTTCTGATATACCATCTATACTGGTATATACTGATATACCAGTATACCATCTGATCAACCTTTCAGCGTTAACCCATTCCTGAACAATCATTTTTATCACTATGTGTTTTTTAGATAACATTTCGAATAGAGGTTAAGGGCTTACCTCAATCTTCTTTCCCACATCCTCAGTTTTTGCTACAAACTTGAAAAAGAACGTCTTTGTTTTACCAGGGGTAAGGCACAGCATTCCCTGTGTGAACAGTTCATTTTTCTGATACACTTCTTCCACCACACAATACTGGTTGTATTCCTACGGCAAAAGACAAGGTGGAAAATTATACATTAAACATTTTTTCCAGAAATCTGATAGGAGTACAGCAAAATCTGCATCGCTAGATGTAACGTAAGACCTGACCATTCTTTCTATAAATTTTGTTGTTCAGAATACGCATTTTCAAACAGAATAGTTTTCTTCTAAGTGTATACAATCTACAGTTCTTTAGAACTGTTTGTTGTTGTTTAATCGCACAGTTGAGTCCGACTCTTTGCGACCCCATGGACCACATCACACCAGGCCCTCCTATCTTCCGTCGTGCTCCGGAATTTGCTTAATTTCATGTTCATCCTTTGCCGTCCCCTTCTTCTTTTACCTTCAGGCTTTCCCAGCATCAGGGTCTTCTCCAGTGAGTGCTCCCACAATCAAACCACAAATAGCACTTTACAGGAAAATATCAGTTATTTAAAACACATCAACAGTTTACAAATTAAGAAGTGGCTTAGAAGAAGTTACAATATATGCATGTAATAACAAGCTTTGGAAAAACGCTCAAATACTTTGGCCACCAAATGAGAAGGGAGCACTTCCTGGAGAAGACCCTGATGCTGGGAAAGATTGAAGGTCAAAGAAGACGGGGCCGGCAAAGGATGAGATGGTTGGACAGTGTCATCGATGCAACGAACATGAAATTGAGCCAACTTCAGAGGACGGCGGAAGACAGGAGGGCCTGGCGGGAGATGATCCATGGGGTCGCGAAGAGTCGGACTCGACTGTGCGACTGAACAACAACAAAATTATAGTTATTTCTGTGCTTAGTGATACCGTTGCTAAACACTAAAATGGAAATAAGACTGAAAAGCACTCAAATTTTCAAAACAATGAACTCTCTTGATCCCAAATCAGGCAGGTCCCAGTTTGTTCTCTAAGGAAAGACCAAAGGGAAGAAATCTTCCCTCCACTCTGGCCCCAGAGTTCCACCCACCCTTTCAAGGCCCAAAAGGAGACGGAATGGGCCCCTGGGGGTGCAGCAGGGCTGTGAGTCCAGGTGGCCACCGTCAGTGCCACCCTCTCTACACAAGACACCATGAAAAACACCCACATTAAAGTGGGGTTCTGGCTCCTGACATGCTGCAGCATTAAAATGGCTGGGAAAATGCAATAAATGTGTCCACCTTATTAAAGAGAGGACTCTCACTTAAAAGTCTATTTTTAAAATATTACCTGATTGTTGAAACCGACACATAGTTTAGAAAACCGGAGAGGATGAGGACAATCAGCTTTCAAGAATATGTCAAACTGAACTGGGGTGTCAACATGGAAACTTGGAGCAAGAAATCTTGCTTTGCACTGTACTAAAATTTGGAACAGAAACAGCCCACGTTAATGAACTTAACTGAAGACGTCATGTTTCACGTTAGGTCCCCTACATCAAAACTAAACATGTCAGTTCTAGACAAACCAAACACAAAACATTAGATTTGTACAAAGTCAGGTATGTTTGCACAGATAATATGTACAATTAAGAGAGACTATGGACTGCTTTGTTATTTCTTCCTAACTGAGGACACAGAGCATGTGAACTCTGATTTGACTCCTGCAACCCAAGACATTAGTTTGACACGCTGCAAACAGAGGTTTCCTTGTAATTTGTGCAGCAGCAGCTCCTACAGCTGGCAACAGCTGGTCACATTTTATATCAAGGCCCATCAAGGAACCCTGCAGTACCACCTATGCACACAGTCGTTTCCGTCTTTCCCTGTATAGGAAACAGACCGCTCTCAGGCACCAAGCTAAGTTTTGAGTGAACTGTGGATTTTCCCAAACACAAAACTTACCTGTTCAGCATTATCACCCCCACCCTTCTTCAAAAGAACGCAGGGCAGCATACACCCCAGGCTCTTCCATTTTAGCCTCACAACAACCTTGTGAACTAGGTTCAGCTGAGAGTTACTGACTGGGGCTGAGCTCACTCAGTAAGCTTCATGGCAATGGGGACTTTGAACCTGGATCTTCTACAGCTTTTGCTGCTGTTGTTGTTGTTCAGTCGCACAGTCGAGTCTGACTCTTCGCGACCCCATGGACCAGATCCCGCCAGGCCCTCCTGTCTTCCGCCGTCCTCTGAAGTTGGCTCAATTTCATGTTCGTTACATCTCTGACACTGTCTAACCATCTCATCCTTTGCCGCCCCCATCTTCTTTGACCTTCAATCTTTCCCAGCATCAGGGTCTTCTCCAGTGAGTGCTCCCTTCTCATTTCTACATCTACATCTTAGTTCATCACTAAAAAAGGGAGCTGTGGAGTTTTTGCACCATTTTTAATGATCCACAAAACAGGAAAGCCCAGTTATCTCTACAGCTCCAGCACCAATGAGTATACTAGAATCTCTTATATATAATTCCTTTGGAAAGAAAACTTTATACAAGAGCTTAAAATGTCTTTTTAAAATCTTTTTAAATAGCACAGATGGATTTCAATTGAAAAACTGGGGAGGGGCTGTGGCTCAGTGGTAGATCATCTGCTTTGGTGTAGTGCCAGTTTGGTGTAGTGGTGTAGTGTAGTGGTTTGGTGTACAGTTTGGTATAGTGTGGAGCTGCGGTGGCTCAAGTGGTTAAGACGCTGAACTGCAGGCTGTGGAAGGTCGGTAGTTCAGCAGTTCGAGACCCGAGTGTGCTGCATTACGGAGTGAGCTCCCGTCTCTAGTTCCAGCTCCTGCCAACCTAGCAGTTCGAAAGTAAGAAATTGCAAGTAGATAAATAGGTACCACTTCAGTGGGAAGGTAACAGCGTTCTGTGCACCTTGGTGTTTAGTCATGCCGGCCACATGACCATGGAAATGTCTTCGGACAGTGCTGGCTCTTCGGCTTTGAAACGGAGATGAGCACCGCAACCCTAGAGTCGAATTCGACTGGCTTTTGAGCAAGGGAACCTTTACCTTTACCTTTGGTGTAGTGTAGTGGTTAATTTGATTCCCCACTCCTCCACATGAAGCTCCTGGTGTGACCTTGGGTCAGTTAAAAGTTATTTCAGAGCTGTTCTCTCATGAGCAGTTCTCTCAGAGCTCTCTCAGCCCCACCTACCTCACAGGGTGTCTGTTGTGTATGAGGGGGAAGAGACTGTAAGCCACTCTGACACTTCTTCGGGCAGTGAAGGGCGGAGTATAAATCCAATCTCTTCTCTTCTTCCCCTGCAAAAGCTCTCAGGTTCAATCCCCAACATTTCCAGTTACAAAGATCAGGCAGGGAATGTGAAATGCTCACCCTGAGACCCTGGAGAGCAGCTGCCAGCTACAGTAGACAGTACTAACAAAATGGCCTCACTCAGCGTAAAGCAGCTTCATGTTTTCAAAAATGCCAGCACACTCTATTAAGTCAAATCTCGCAGGGCTTGCACAGTTCTTACTTTAATTTTCCACCAAAAATTTAACAGTTGGACTGCTACAGAATTAAAATACGTATTTCTCTATTTTGCCATTCGCTATGTAGATGGTGCATTTAAATATTACATCTGGGATGATAAAAGCTTTGATACATACCAAATGGAACGAAGTCCTGCACTTCTATTGTAAAGATATTATTGCCAGCCAGAGAGACTCTGTCAGCCCACAACTTCTGTGAACTTTTCACAGAAGTAGCATCACAGTCAGGTTCTGGATCTGGGCTCTCATTCTGGATTCAAAAGAAGAAGATTTTACTCAAACATTCTAGGTGCAGAACTTGCAGGTCATTGAGAATTACTGCAAAGAATCTAAGTTTTGCCTACTTACCATAAGAACTTTAATCAGATTCTTTTCTATGCGAGATTTTTGGTCCTCTTTCAAGTTAGATGCTAAAGAACGAGAACAGAGAAAACAAGCTAAAATAAACATGGTCATCATAACCCCTTATAATACAGATTAGCTGCCACTACCATTTTCAAATACCTGCAGATTATCTAATCATTTCCGCTACATTCTCAGCTGAAATGCTGCCCTGGTTCCCACATACAGCAGGTGTGAAAGCACCTGTGCCTTGACTATACTGATGAGTTCAATTTTTTTTTAAATCCTATACTCTGAATGCCAAAAAAAAAGAAAGAAAAAAAGAGGTTAGGTCAGAAGTCTTGTTCTGACATGCTAGCTTTCTTCTGAAATTCACTTTACATGGATAATCAATCTACCGGGACTTCCGGTTGATGGCAGCACGCTCACGGACTCACCTCCCGGACCTCCCGGACCTCCCGGGGGTGTCTCCGTGCTATGGCAGACGGAGGGGGTGAGCAGGCTCGTAACCCCCCCCAGGAGCCCGGGGAAGGGTACCTGGCCAAGGAGCTTTGAGGGGGTAGCCTCTTCTCTGGCCGAATGCCAGGGAATCGAGGCTCCCCCTTGCTCCAGTGGTCCGTCCAGCTGAGAGACCTGATGGTACAAGTGAAGCTAGCCGGATCAAGTTCAGGAGATCAGGCATTAAAATGATGAATGAAGAGGGGTCGGAAGACCAACTATGAACGTGAGTCAAATGAGAACTGATTTTTAAACGAAAATACACTCCTTACCCGAAGCGGCGAAACGGCAGAAGCGAGTGGTGGGAGGGACGCCTCCCATGTCCATAAATCGTTGAGTGAAAGGGGAGGGAGTGGAAGAATAAACAAGAAATTGCCCAGAAGTACTCATTCATCAAGCTATACAGATAAGCGCATATTCAGAGACTTTAAAATTTATTGCGAAAGCAAACAAACGAGAAAAAGATGGCGGGGAAGAGGGACAGAGACAAAGAGAAACTTTTAAAAGCGAAACTAGAGTCCCCGAAGGTGCCGGAAACGACCAGTGAGACGACGAAGGCGATGACAGAGGTCATGCGCCCTCTGCTGGAACAGCTCAATGTCTTTAAAGAACAGATGTCTGTTGTAACAGCGAATATTACTGCACAACAAAAGCAGCTGCAAGTTGTGACAACAAGCATTACTGCACAACAAACGCAAATAATGGATTTGATTCAAGTAATGAAGCAGGATGCTGAGAAAGTAAAGGAAATGGCTGAGACAACACAGATAGTGAGGAAAAAAGTGCAAAAATTGGAAAAGAAAACTGTATCTTTGGAAGACCAGATGCTGCAGGTACAAATGGATAAGGCTAATATGGTCCTGCGCTTCCAAGGGGTGCCAGAGAAAAGAGGAGAGAATCTTAAAGAACTTATGAGTGAGCTACTTGCCCCAGTAGCAGATATAAAGGCAGACTT